TATTGAGCAGAGTTCCTCATTTTACATATACAGATTAACTATCAGAACTAACTGTCAATTAGTTCTCACTCACAGTCCTCCAAACTAATAATAATATATATATGCATGTATGTGTATATACATATATATTATAATACATTTATTGCACAGATGATATTACATTTATATCAAACTATGAAACTTATGAGTCTATAGAATAGCAAATAACTCTACAGGATATACTGACACCTTTTCTTATGTCTGTCCAACAATTACAAATTCTCTCCCTATGGAAGCTCGCCCATGAGGCTTACATCCTTATGATTTATGGTTATGAAATAAGAAGTAATACACCATATATTTCACTGCTTTTCAATTCTAGGAATGCCTAGAGCTCATATATAGACAACAGCCTTACATATACTTCAAGAGCTCTTAAGAATTGGTGCTTAATTTTTCATATCTCCCACTACAGGCATTCCTTATTACCCTCAGGCCAAGACGAGCTAAGTCTTCTTTAATTCTAGACATTCAGCAATCAGAAAGATTGGCACCCCAGGTGGAACTACTATTTAGAAATAGAAGGCTTTCATTCATGTCTCCCAATACAGTGCAACCTCTTTAAACTATGCCCCTGTGCCAGAGTGACAAAATAATCTTCAAACTCTGGTGGAAGAGAAATAGATTTGGAAGGGTTGCCAAGGCCAGATAATCATGTAAAGGTAAATGTGGGTTTCAGATAGAAAAAAATGATATGGAAATGTCACGATTTTAAATTTAAAATTTTTAATTTAATTAAATAACATGTATTGTTGCCGTGTCTGTGCGTGCATGATGTGTGGAGTGCACTGCACCACAGCATTCGCGTGGAAGTCAGAGGACAACCTGTGGAGCTGGCTCTCTCCTTCCACCGTGTGGGCTCCAGGGGCATCAAACTCAGGGCACTAGGCTGGGGTGACAAGTGCTTTACCCACTGAGCCACCTCGCCAGCCTTAAGAAATAAATTAAATAAGACCCCAAACCAGGACAAGGGGCACAAAGGTGCCAACACACTGCTTTTCAGGTCATTTGCTTGCCCACTGTGGTGTGCATGAGATTCGATGTCAATCCAGCTGTTGAACCGTGACCCTGAGACCGTGTCTGCATTAACTGTCCAAGCCAAGTGAAGCAAATGCCAAGCCCAGTGGGCCAAAGTCACGCAGAGTCAGTATCTTGTTGTTCTGGAGGCTGAGGTCCAAACCCAGCTTCCTGGGGCTGAAGCGAGAGCTTTGGCAGCCGGATTCTTTCGGAGGGTCTGCTCACTCACAATGGATGCCACTCACCCACTCCTGAAGCACATCACCCCAGCATGGGCTCCCATGCCTGCACACCCTCTGATATGACCTTCCCAGCTAATCTATCCCACTCCAGAACCTTCATTGAAAGGGACATGGTTTGGCCTTCCAAATAGTGGGTCTTGGTAGCTGATGGGTCAGGAGCACAGCATGGTGCAGTTGGACAGGCTAGAGTGATAGTTGTCAGAGGCTCCACGGTGATGCGGACAAGTGCCATCCTCCACACCCTACACACAAGCACACATCAGTGTCAAAGGCTGGGCAAGATTTGAACACAAAAGTGCCATGTGTCTTGTGCATTGCTTGGAGTGGTGCTGTGGAGACACAAAGGAATTTGGAGGGAGGCGAGTTACCTTCGTAGGTCAGTTGCCTTCTCTGTTTGCCAGTCAGTCAACTAGGCCCAGAGATGTTCTTTCTCCCAGTTGAAAAGCTCTTTAAGGGCAGGGTATGTATTACTTGTAACTGTGAGTCAATAGTTACAGGAGCCCCTGGAGTGAAAAGGCCTTATTTAAGGTATTTGCTATTCCCCAACTGTCCACCAGGTGGCAGTCTTGAAACACAGGGAGGTGGTCCTTTTGGCAGCGGCTTCAAGTATCTTAAGTGGGGGAGGCTACTTCACATCTTAGAGGCCTTTCTTGGTCTCCTTCCTTACGAAGGGTCACCTCGTGAAAAGACTGTCTGGTGCTGGTTCCCTGTCTGGCCAGGAGCAGCGGCCGCTTTCTGAAGCCCGGGGCATTTTGCCAGGGGGTGTTCTTGAGTCTCAGCCCTGCGTTCCCCACACTTCTGAAATGCCCCAGGCCTACGCCACAGCCAGACAAACTCCAGTCCTTGCACATCCAGCAGGCTATGGTCCTTCCTTCCCTCCAGTCATGCTTCCAGAAAGGAAGTGAGTGCTGGCCTCCGACTTCCAGCACACACACACACACACACACACACACACACACACACACACACACACACACACACCAGCGTCCCGCCTGTACATTCCATATGGTATTCTGTTCCCAATTGATATTCTCTGCAGTGTGGAGCACAGATCACCCTCCTGGGAAGGGCAGGGCCTTCAGCAGCTTCACAGAGCACTGACTGACATTCCTGTTCTTGTCCACACACCCCCTCAGCCTCCCCTCACTCCTCTCCCTGCATCCAACTGCAGCCAGGCTGTCCTCTCTCCGAATCCTCCCCGTGCTGGCTGCCCATCCCCCCCAGCCTCCATATCCTCTGCGTACACTGGGGTAACCCAGGCAAAGGGACTCCCAGGCTCCCCTCTGCACCAGCCCTTGCGCTCCTTCATACAGGCCTCTGCTGTCTTCCAGAGACAGGACCCCACTCAGACCTGGAGAGGTGCCCAAGAGGGTCCTAGCCTTCCTGGGGGGGGGGGAGCAGTGGAGTGGGAGGAGGTAGGGGAATGGGGTGAGGCCCATAGGGCGGATGGGTAACTGTTAGGAGTTTAGCTTCTCTGCAAGAACAGGGCAATGGGAGGATTCTTACAGTCGTGGAAGCTCCACATGCTGGCCTTCAAGGGTTGACGGATATAAGGCAAATGGAGCTGGCTGCTGAAAGGGGGCACTCAAGCTACCCTCAGCCAGAAAGGGCAGGGGACAGCCCAGGACCCCACAGTAGTGACTTTATAACTGAAGCTTCCTCTGCAGTTCTCCCGCCCCCCAAGTCTGTCTGAGTGCTCCCCAGAGCCTGTCTCCTTCAGGCTTCCCAGCGTTCTCTAGACGAACTGTTATTGTCCCCAGGACGCTGAGCCAAGCAGGCAATGTGGGAGTAGAAACAGAGCCAGGGAGTCTGGCCCTGCAGCTGGCAAGGACGGCACCCATCCCCAGACTTCAGACTGGACTGAGCACTCTCTTATCTTAGGGGAACATTCTTCACAGGTCTGCACACACATACACAAGGAACCAGACTCCCAGCAGCTAGCTGCACACCGCTGGAGAGCCGCTTTCCCAAGACTGCAGATGCTGGGAACTTTCCAATACACCCTTCCCTTCTGGACATCACTCCCTCCCTTGTACGGTATTCAAACCCCCAAATTAGAGAGGACTCCTAGTGCCCCTGCCCAAGTCAGACACCAAATGCTCATTGAAGAAGCACCACATGGAGTCCTGTGGTTGGTGTGAGGACAGTTGCCTAGAGCAACGGCAAGTGAGAGAATTTTCTAAGACCCCAAAGTGACACCCTGCCTGGCTGCAGGCGGACACCTCTGTGTCCATTTAGTGTCCTCTGCAGATGCCTCTGGGCCAGTGGGCCTGGAGTCTGATGATGGTGAAAGCAGACAGGGCCTACAGATGGGGAGGCAGCTCTGGGCAAGCAGGGACCACGGAAGCTTCGATGCCAGTCTGAATGCAGTGTGGGCTCCGGCGTCCATCGGAGCGGGTCCTGGTGTGTCCAGATGGTTTTCATTTTTCTGGATAACCGTGGAAAATGTGAATCATAAGGTGGCCGCGCTGCCCACAGCTGCAGTGTGGGGGCACGCTGCCTGTGAGTCACAAGCTAGGCTCTCCAGAGCTGTTTTGCACATGTCTGTCTAGGGAACAATTCTTCTCTGGCAGTTCGATTTCTTCAGTCTCCTGTTCTCTGATGATTCGGTGTCCAGGGGTGGCAGGCATGCTCTCAGTGAAATGACAGTTTTCACTGAGACCCCCACCCCACCCCTGGCACTGATGAGCCCAGCCTTGATGGCCAGAGCAAACCAGAGAATAAACTAATCTTTTTAGGTCATAGTGCATCCCCAGAGGAAGGCACCTCTTGAACCCATTTCTCAGAGGGAGGGAGCAAAGGCGAGGGCTTCACTGTTGAACTCCGTTTTCAAACCCTCTAAGCAGACCCCACACTCCTAAGCCCTTCCTTAGCCTAAGCTCACTGAATCCAGATGTAAAGGGACCCTGACTTTCATACTGCATTTTCTTATAGTGATGGCCCCAGAGAGGTGGCTGCCGTACCCCAGAATGCAGCAGAGGAGCTGAGTCCCCATCACCCTGAGGCACAGCCCACGGTCCCTCCAACCCAAAACAGGTTTCTCAGAAATGCTGGGACTCCATGCTCTCCCAAAAGACAGGAGACATTGCCACAGCCTCCTGGGCCACTGTGATGCCTGCATCTGGCACCGTCCCACACTGTCATCACTGGTCTTAGCAAAGCCCCCAGAGATGGGCAGAGTCTCTATGGCCTCTCTGTAAGTGGGAAAACAGGATCAGGACAGACAAGGGGTCTGTCTGGATTGGTCAGCTAGCTATTAAGCCATGGGGTCAGGACTGGGGGTTTCAGAACCCCAAGCCCTGGCTAACCTCTGCCACTCTCTGCTTCCTCCAGGCATTCCCTATGTACCACGTGAACACTGTCTCCAGGACTCTGCCCTCTTCCAAGGCCATTCCTGCTTGGCTTGCAGAACACCCATTGTTACGCTCTGGGAACTCCTTCCTAGGACAATGCCTCCGCACCTCTGGGTTCTGGCTGGTTTCTGACACAAGAAAAGACAGACAGTTTGTCCTGGCTGCAGAGAGCAATGGTCTTCACTGTGGCTGGCCCAGACTCCTTCTGTCAGAAATGACTGTGAAACACGATCATTATTAAAATGACACCATGTACATTTGTAATTAAACAAGTTAGTAGTAAAGACCATAAATCCTTCCAAGTTTGGCACTTTTTAATTATTTCATTATCCGTTATTTAGGTGATAAATCCTGTGTGGAATGCTGTCTTTTGAGCATGACAGAAATCACAGTCTCAATTAAAATGCCAATGCAAGAGGCCCTTAATAAGGCCAGGCCTGTTGACACTCCCTCCTGGGATGGCTTGGGGTGAGTGTCAGCAGACCCTCGGCAAGATCAGACTGGTTGATGTGTCTCATAGAAGGAGAGCTGGGGGTGGGGGTCGATCGTTAAGCCCTTACCTGAGCTCCCAGCCATTGGCTCCCTCCTGCATCTGTCCCCCACCTATATGAGGTGCCTCAGCAGAACCTGGTCTTGGGAGACGCTAGGATGAGAGGGGCGGAAAGCTGGCTGACGCAGAGGGGACTCCAAAGTAGCTATGGGAAGTTGTCACCCACGCTGGGGTAGCACTTGCCACTGATGTCGCTACTTGGGAGTCATCTATGCTGTAACTAACCCCTCACCTGTGCTCCTGTTTGTAATCCACTCACTCTGGTTCACCAGGTTAGGCTGGGGCGGAGCCATCCCACGGTGCTAGCTGAAGGGAGTGGATGTGCCTTCATTTGCTTCTCTTCAGAAGCCCACAGGGCACATGGGAGAGGTGGCTGTCATTGAACGGTGTGGTGCTGGGCGTCCCTTCTGAACCCTGCCTCCGTGGATTGCCCTCAGCCCTGGTAGAGGTTTCCGTGCTGTGGAAATGGAAAGCATCCTGCTGGGCCCCTGGTTTTGCTTGTTGTTTTCCGACAGAGCTGCTCTTCGATGTTAACCGTGCTCCAGGTCAGACCCCACACTCCGCACCTTTCATAGTCCCAAAGCATTTCCAACACCATCTGTGTCCCCAAATATGGGCAGAAAATCACCCCTCAGTCTAGAGGCCCGGACTTCTGGGAAGCCTGAAGACTGTGAGGATCAGTCATGCTCAGAGCACCCCTCCTGACTACCTTGGGAGGAGTCCTCATGTTCTCAAACATCCCTTCAAGGAGACCCGTCTGGCTATGCAGGGGTCCCAGGGACTCACATGCCCCCAGAGTGACTGGCCTGACCAGCCCTGCGTGGAGCTCACGAGGGAAAACAGACCAGTCCAGAGCTCGCCTTTCAACTTCCTCCAAAGATGACTTTTGTGTGCCCACGTTAATAACCTCCAGACACCACTTGGTGCCCAGGTCTTAGAAGCCGGGCACACAGAAGTAGATGGAGAACTTGGCAAATGTGGGCGCACAGGACTGGTTTCGTCTGGTGGAGCGGGGATGCGCTGCAGATAAGGGACAGATGGGCCGGATCTCTAAGGGCTTGTTGAGCTGAAAAAAGAGGGCTGCTTCCCAAAAGTGGTCCAAAGAGATGCTAGGTAACAGGACTAGAATTTTCTTGGAATTGCTTTGTTTATCTAACAATGCCATCCATGCTCTATATTCCCAGGTCGTATTCAGTGACTTGCTTAGGAAACGGACAAAGGCCTTGAAAAGCTTCCGGGTCCTGGGGGAGAGAGGGGAGGAGGGAGTCCATTGTATCTGCATGGTGGGGGCCAGAAACTATGCTGAAGGATGACAGGGGCTGGAACTGGAAGATGTCCTGACAAGTCCCCTGGCCCTAGTTTCCACTGACATGGCCAGAGAACTTCTGAGACCAGATACTTCTCCAGATGGTGGGCAGGCCCTCATAAATCTTCCAAACTACTTCTTAGGGGTTCTTGTCAAAGGTCTCCAAGAATGAGGCTGGGAGGAGATGAGAGGCCACGTTCCATGTCAGATGAGACAGTGGAGTGCTGTGATTCCGTCCGTGTTCAAGGCCAGTGTGGTGGACAAGAGACCCTGGGCTCAGCTTCAGCTGGGAGGAGAGAAACAGAGACAGGCTGAGAGAAGCTCACCAGTGATGGTGACAGCAGTTGTGGCCTGGGGGCATTCAGCAAAGTGGGAGAGTCGGGGGGTCATTTCTCCACACCTGCCAAGATGATCCTAGGCCACCTGTCCCCCAAGCTCCTGTGGCTGTGTTTTCCCAAAACACATAAACCCATGCATACGCTTTAACCTTGGTAAGTCCGTCTCTTAGGGTTTGGATGGAGAAGAACAATCCATGTTTGAGATGATCTTTTGTGGTATCATTTACTCTCCTGAAAAACAGGAAATAATTATACCTGTGATAATCAAGGGTAGTAAAAATACTAGTGTATTAGTCCGTGTAGAGACTCCAGGGTCTAAAATGAGAACAGAGACAAAACAACTATAAGACAATAATAGGGAAAGTGACATACAGAAGTCAATACCCGAAGCCATTTTGTAACATCCGCATAAGTGCCCCCACGTTCTTAAACGCTATCCACAGATGGTTTTGAGTTATGGTTATCTCTGGTCCATCCCACACTTTTTCCTTCTATATGACCATGTTGTAAACAACCAAAATAAGAATCAAGCCGAGTGACTCTGGACAAAGAGGAAAGGGACCTGGGCTCCCCAGGGAGGCTGTGGCAGGGAACAGCCTCCAAAGACCCCTCTTTAAGGGAATGTGGTGTGTCTCAGTGGTAGAGTGACAGCCTAGTTCACACAAGGCCCCCGGCTTCCATCTCAAGCACCAGGAAAGAGCACAAGCCAAAAGAAGAGAGACATCCCGGACTGTTTTTCCCACACACTGTTGGTGGCTTGCGGCTGGGTTCTGTGGAAACTGGAGGAAGACATGCCACGTAACATGTGGTTTTTAAACCAGGAACTGTGCTGCTGCAATTTAGGGAAAGAACTTGGAACAGACAAATGCTGACTATCCAGCCAGCATCACATGAGAGGGCCCTCAGGAGGCAACGGGAAATGGGAAGCCTGCCTCTGCTCAGGCACGGAACCCAGCGCTGCTGACCACAATCCCCTTGCCACCTCCTTCTCCTGTCTGAATAATGGGTAGTGTCTCCCCCAAAAAACTGGATCTGGAGGAGAGAAGAATGCGTCCCAGGGGATGAGAAGTTTGGCAGAGTGAGAGCAGAAAGAAACAAAGACTGAAAAGCTGAACACGTTTTCTCACTCTGGGACAGGACAGCTTTGGAAAGGAAAGGTGGGCGGGACATCCCAAGAGGGTCTTACTGAGTAAACAGTGAAGGGCTGGGATGTGGTCAGCGAGGCCCAAATGTTCTCTGACATGGACAGCTGCTGGAGAAAAGGGTGGTCAGCTGAGGCATGATGACAGCCTCGGCTTACATATGCAGTCAGGAGATTTTTTTTTTTTTTCCAGAGGTCTCCTGCTCTCCAAAGTTCGGCTTCTCGGTGTAGACCCTTTGTCCCAGGCCCATGCTATCTAGAATGCCGTCCCCATCATCTAGAAATGAATCACTGGGACAGAATGGGATGAACCAATACCTGCCTCCAACGGGGTGTGTTTAAAAAACTAAGGAGAGCCGGAGGTGTGGCTCGATCGGCACTTGGCCCTCGAGGCGTTCACAAAGCCCTGGGTGCGATCCCCAGCACGGCATACACCATGTGTAGTGGCACACACTAGCAAGCCAAGCACTTGAGAGGATACAGAGCACCAGGAGTTCAAGGTCATCCTCAGGCCCACAGTGACTATGAGGCTGTCTGAGTCCGTGATGCCAGAGTGGAGCCATGGCAGCTGGAGCAGGAAGCTTAAGGCTCACATCTTGAACTGTGGACAGAAAGCAGAGAAAGTGACCTAGAAATTGAGAGTGGCTTTTGAAACTTCAAAGTTGTCCTTCAGTGCTACACTTCTCTGACAAAGCCACATCTCCTAAAGCTCCTAAATGGCTCTATCAACTGTGGCCGAGTAGTCACATGCCCAAGACACTGGGGGGCATTTCTCATTCAAACCATTACAGCGGATCCGTCAAATCTTTCTGGAAATGTTCTTGGAGACACATGTGTTCCCATGGTGATTGCAAATCCAGTCAGGCTGCCAGTTAATACCACAGATGGTATGGCATGAAGGAATAGACAATGGATGGATCTGTGAATGGATGGATAAGTAGACAGGGGATAGATAGATACGGGCAGATGGAACATTTGGCAGTGATCACTGGCTACAATGGTCCATGAATGTGATGTTTAGCTTAATTGACATAATCTAGACTCACCTGAAAAAGAGAATCTCAATGAGGGATTGTCCACATCAAGTCTGCCTGTGAGAGACTGTCCTGATTATGTTGTTGGTGTGGGAAGACCCAGCCTAAAAGTGGGTGACACCTGTCCCTACCTTTGAATCTAGGACTCTACAGAAAAAAAGAGAAAGTGAGCTGAGAGCAAGCATGTGCACATTAACATCTTGTTCTCTGTTCCTGACTGTGGATGTGATGTTTCAGGTCCCCGCTGCCTTGACTTCCCCACAATGATGGACCGGAATCTGGAACTGTGAGTTAGAACAAACCCTTTCTCCCCAGGCTGCCCCTGTCAGGGTATTGTATCACAGCAACAGGAAATGAACTAAGACAATGGGCTGAAGAAGAAGAATTCCAGCCTTTTGCATCTAAGGTTTAAGAGGGGGAAAAAATACAACATGTCTATGATGTCTATGTTTGGGATACCAAAGCAATCACTCCCTGACCTAATTTGGCAAGAAGTGAAGCTGAAAAGCAGAAGGGATTAGAGAACTTGTCTTCTTCTTCCCCCTCCTCCTCCTCCCCCTCCTCCTTCCTCCCCTTCTCTCCCTGTAAAGTCTAAGACTGCTTGAGAAGCATGGACTTCCCACCACATGTGGGATGGGGTCTCAGCCAATTTTATTTAAATCTTCAAAGGCGAATTACCTCATCTGCCATCTGGTGTGTGTGTGTGTGTGTGTGTGTGTGTGTGTGTGTGTGTGTATGCAGAGAAGGTAAATCTAAATGAGACATCGGAGAACATTATGAATGGTTACTGGGGAGGGAGCTCATTTTCACCCCATGTTCTGTTTAAGACATTTCCAAAGGACATGCATGATTTTTGGAACAACTCCAAATCTAGTCAACGGTGGCACACGGTTCTGGGAAGTATTTCTTCATTTTGGTTGCAGAATTTGGATGTCCTTTTTTTTTTTTTTTTTAAGTTCTTAATAACTCCCTGGTGGTTTTGCTTTCTCCCCAGTAAGGCCATGAGAGCAGACAGAAGGCAGACCATCGGCACTTCAGCCATCTGCCCACAGTTGGCTCTTACCAGACTTTGATCTCTGAACAATAATGACTTCCCGTGTCAGACCTGGCTAGTCTGGGCATTGTGGCGTTACTGAAACACACTTCCTGATTAAGGCACTTGAAGCCACTGAGTGAGTTGAGCTGTCTACACTAAGAACAGTGAGAATCGTGTTTTAAGTATCTTTCATTTCAAAATTCCTGTGAATAACATTTTCCTTGAAGACACTTTATGGGTCTATGTAAGAAAGGTTTGAACCCTGTGACTTCATTCTGGCTCTCCTGTACTGTGTCAACAAATCAGAATCCCTCTGTCACAGCCCACCATACCCTGGTGCTGTGGCCATGCATGTTCTTCAGACCACATCAAAGCTCCTCAAGCCTCAAGGTTTCTGTGTCGCCAGAGACAATGATCTTCCCCGACTTCTCCCCCTCACACGGCTGCCAAGAGCCACCTGTCTGCGGATCCAAGGCTCCAGGTCACTGTCATCCAGCAAAGCCTCGCTGGATGTGCCACTCACGTGATACAAATTCCCAGGGTGTCATTGGTAAAGGAACTCGGCTCACGACAATCCAGTTTCTCTGCAAGCACAATGTCAATGACTCTGGGCAGGACCAGTTGCACAAGAATCTTGGGAACAGAGGACTCACATCTGTTTTGCTCCAAGCTGCAGCTTTGGAAGACACTTCCGTCCTAGTCTCTCTGTAGTTTCAGCTGCTTCTATAACTATTCTGTGTTTGCTTTTTAGAACCTCAAGTGTTATCAGGTTTTTTTTTTTTTAATTTAAAGAATGGTCATCATATTTAGTTGAAAAACAATGTCTAACCATGATGGTATTCTTGAAAATAGTTAATAACAGACCACATTATGGGATCTCTAGGACACTGGTTCTCAACCTGTGGGGCACTACTCCTTTGAGAATTGAACGACCCTTTCATGGACATCACCTAAGATCATCACAGATATTTACATTACAATCCATAACAATAGCAAAATTACAGCTATGAAGTAGCAACAAAAACAATTTTATGGTTAGGATCACCATAGCGTGAGGAACTGTATTGAAGGGTCCCAGAATCAGGACTGTGGAGAGCACTGCATTACATTGTTTCTGTCACTGTGTTTTTAGAGATTTGACCATAATTAAAAAGCAAACACGCTCAGCCGGGTGGCTCACACATGTAGTCCCAGCTACTCCGGAGACTCGGCTAGGAGGGTCGCTTGAGCCTACAGGTTTGAGAATAGCCTGAGCGATGTATTTGGAAAGACTGACTCAGAAAACTAAACCAAAGAAACAATGCCAGGGGCTGGAGGTGTGACTCAGTTGGTACAGCCCCTTGCCTAGACCTCATGAAACCTGGGTTTGGTTCTCACCCCTACAGGGGTGGTGGTGCTGGTCAGTAATGAAAGCACTCGGAGTGGAGGCGGGGGCATCAGAAATCCGTGGTTATCCTTAGCTGTGTAGGGAGTTGGGGGCCATCCTGGGATACATGAGACCCCGTCTCTAGATAGATGGATAGATAGATAGATAGATAGATAGATAGATAGATAGATAGATAGATACATACATACATACATACATACATACATACATACATACATACATACATACATAGAAACATAGACAGACAAACAATGGATTTTTGTTTGTGGGTTTTGATATTGGTGTTTTGGTTTGATTTTATTTTGTTGGTGGGGGCCACAAAAATCTCACTCTGTGTGCCTGGAACTTGAGAACATCTAGCCTCAACCTCCTGAACCCTAGGACTAAAGGTATGCACCACACACTCAACTTCTCTGGCTTGCTGTTTTTTTTCAAAGGCAGGCTCTTGGGCCTAATTTGCATTCAGTAAACAACCCTTTTCAAATGAATAGTTCTGTGTTTTGACAAACCAATAACAAACTGATACTTTGAATGTTATTACTCCAAGAGCCCCTCAGGCCGTTTTCTAGTCAGCCCTCATTTCCTCTCCCGGCACTGCCAAATGCTGGTCTGTTTGGTCCTCACAGTCCTGCCTTGCTCAGGTCATCTGTGGTCTTTGCAGGAACAGAGTGAGATCTCTGGCCGGTTGCTTCCAGAAGGGCACCCTGAAGACTCATCCATGTTGATGCGTATCCTCAGTTTGTTCCTTTTCACGGCTGCCCAGTTTTCCACTGCCTCTACTTACCTGTTGAGAGACCCTGTGGCCATTTCTAGCTTGGAGCAATCCTGAGCACAGCTATGGTAAATAGACCTTCAACACAGGAGCCATGGTAAGTATATTTTAACTGTAAGGAACTGCCAAACCTCGTTCCAAAGTGGATGTGGCAAAACACACCTAAGTTTTACCATCAGAATTATATTTAAGCTTGGAGTCCGGTGGTATTGAGCACATATGTAGCATCATATAACTGCCACCACCCTCATCTCCACAGCCCTCTAGTCTGGTAAAATGGAAGAACTCTGCCCATTGGACAAGACCTCTCCACGATAAATGAGCTTCCCTGGTGGTAAATTGAAGCTTCGAGCCACTCAGCTCGGAGGTCCAAGATCCCGCGCAGAGGTGGAAGATCCCTCAGTATGGGATCTCCTGACAGCCTCTCCTCCCAGTAACAAACCATCAGGCAGAAACAGCTTCAAAGGAGGAAAGATACATTTTGGCTCATGGTTTCAAAGGTTTCTGTCTACTTCCGGCCCCTTGCATAGCAGAACACCCATAACAGGGAGCATGTGGAGACTCAGCTCATGACAGTCAGAAGGCTGAGATGGACAGACAGGCAGGGAAGGCCTGAGGGGAAGATATGCCCTTCAAAGACATTCCTACAAGGACCCACTTTCTCCAGCTAGACCCACCTTCTAGGTCTCACCATTTTATAATCCATCAAAGGATTAGGCCAATCATTAAAGTCATGAATTAAGGACCCTAGTGACACAATCACCTCTCAGTAGTGTCACCAGATGGGGACCAAGTCTTCAACATATGGGCAATTGGGGATTTTCATATCCAAGCCAGAACCTACATATCCCATCTCCCACCTACAGTTGGCTGGCTGCTCCCAGGGTGTTAGCTACAAGGTATTCTGGCCCCCTCTCTGCCATGGCTGGTCAGCTCCTGACAAGTGAACATTGGTGGGTGGATTGTTATAAGTTCATGCAGTAGAAGGGTGTGGGGGACAGTGAGGGCTGAGGGCCAAAGTTGGGGAGGGGGCATCTGCTACGACCTGCCTGTGGTGATTTGAATAAAAATGGCCCCCATAGGCTCACAGGGAGTGGCACTATCAGGAGGTGTGGCCTTGATGGAGGAAGTGTGTCAACAGGAGGTGGGCTGTGAGGTCTCCAATGCTCACACCAGATCTAACGTGACATTCTTTTTCTGCTGCCTGTTGATTCAGATATGGAACTCTCAGCTCCTTCTCCAGCACCACGTCTGCCTGCATGCTGCCATGCCTCCCGCCATGACAATAATGGACCAAACACTGGAAGCCAGCCTCAGTTAAATGGTTTCCTTTATAAGAGTTGCTGTTGTCATGGTGTCTCTTCACAGCAATAGAAACCCTGACTAAGACACTGTCCCTGACCAGCACAGTGACCTATGTAGTGGCGACTCTTCATACTAGCTAGCGGTTTATCAGCTAATTGGTCCTGGAAAGCCACTGGGAGTTTGGAGTGTGTGCTGCTGTGTACCTTGACTTACTCAGGCTCATCTGCCTGGAAGTGAATCCCAGGGTCTCTCCTGGCTCTCTCCCAGGATACACAGAACATCATGTCCTCTTAGTAGATGTGGGTGTAATGTGTGCAAGGTAGCTAGGGGGCAAGGCCACTTAGAACTTAGTAGCAAGAAAGGTGGCCTAGCCTGGCAGTTGCAGGAGTGGGTTCCAGAATTCTAGCCATCCACAAATCAGCTTTTGTTTCCTTGGACAACACAAAATATCTTCTGTGCCAGTGTCCTCATTAATAACATTCAGAAGGTTTTAAGGACAAACAAATATTTGAAAACAGTTAAAACAGTGTCTTGCTATGGTCCAAATGCACCCCAGATAGAGAGTCTTAGAACTCACCCGAGGAGATGTGGTGCAACCCTCCAGAAAAGTTGACAGGGATGCTCAGGGGCATTTCCAGACCCCCTTGACAGCCCACCACCTCTGCCTCTTTCGCACTCTAAGAAGCACATTGCCATGTAAGAATAGAGGAACAGTCATCACGTGTAACTTGCTTAAGTTTCTACATAGTTTAGGGTGTTTACACCACACCC